GGCCTGGGACTTCAGTTTGTAAGCAATAAACGGGTTTTAAACTTTATTTCTCCCTTTGACTGATTTTAGTTTTAGAAGTATTTTGTCCTGGGATTTCCTTTCCCTGGACTTACAAGATGCTCTCTATTTTCCCAGGAAAGTGTATGTACTTTAAGGAGGGCAAATTGAGTAGTCTAATGTTCAGATTAGTGTGTTTTCAGGAAGTGCCCGGAATAAAATGAATTTTTAAAAAATTTAACTAAAATAAATTTAAAAAATGATTTGCCATTTTATCTTTCTGGGTAAGAATTTCCTGGAATTGGAAAAGTCAGATACATATAGACAGTAAACTTTCTATGTATAGAGAGTAAGTTATTTTGATTTCTCAAAGGAAACCTCTTTTAACTCAATTCATTTAACTACCACACTCTTCTTTTCTCATAAAATCTGTTAAAATTTCATAAACATTAGTGTAGGAAATATATTCTATGAGCACCCTCAGAACCAGTGGTTCTCAAAAGGTGGTCCCAAGGCCTGTGGCATCAGCATTGCCTGGGGACTTGTTAGAAATGGGCCCCATCTCATACAGCAGAAACTCTGGGAGCTGGCTCAGCAATCTGTTTGAGCCCGCCCTCCTTCCTGGTCACTGGCATCTGCAAAAGTTTGAGAATGAATGCTGTAAGCCTTGTCATACTACACTGTCCCTCTGCTTTTTAAAAAATATTTCTGCCTAGTGCAGAACTGAGACACATGGGTGCCTATGCTTCTTTCAAGGAAATAAGTCTTTAAATATTTGTCTGCATGTACTTAGTGGAGATGGGTCACAGCAACTTTCTGTAAAAGCTGTGTGCCCCTTTCTACTGTGACTTACACTCCAATGTTCTCATCTCTTCTCTGAGTTCTTCGAAAACAATACTCTCTGAAGGGCCCCCACCAGTAAGATGGCAAACTTCCGGCTTCTCTTCGGGGTCCTCAGTTCCCACCGGCGCCACCTGAAGCCCAATCACCTCTCACTCCCCTCCCAATCCCAGCACCTAGCCAACAGCCACCAGCCCCGTA